AAAAAAAAAAAAAAAAAAAAAAAAAAAGCAATTATAAATACTGTGCCTTAGGAGACAGAAAAGGCCACTCATTTTAAAGACCAAAAAAAAAAAAAAAAAAAAATTAACAAATTCCATAACTAACTCTGAGCACTTCTGGAATTAAATTGTAACTAGAAACTAAATATGAAAAGGCTAAAAAGAAAATATAGGATGAATATATTTTTAGAGCTAGCACTAACATTTCAATTGACAAAAGTTTAAAAAAAAAAAAAAAAAAGAAAGAAAGTAAAAACAGCAGCCCTACCTTAAGAGTAGGCTCTGACATTTTTAAAAGTCTGCACCGTTATTTTTGCTATGAACCCACCTGCTCATCCAGTAAAGAGATAGTATACATTCCCTATCTGTCAGGCATTACATTACATCCAAGAGATACAAGAATAAAATGTAATCTGTGCCCTCAAAGAGTTTACAACCAAATACAAGGGCACCTCTATCTAAGGAAACAAGATGAGGGAAGACAGAGAAATGTCTTTCCTCAGCAGAGCATGTTTAGATGTGCAAATAGTTTAGCATGGCTAATGCAAAGGAGAAACAGTCAAGAGAGCTGATTAAAAGGGAAGTGTGGAAAAGCAGCACACCAAAAAGTAACGTGAAGAAGTAAGCAAGGATCACTCTCCAGAAGACTGTGTATGCCTTATGTGGCAGAGGCTACTACTGGTGGTCTTCTAATACCCATTTCCCCCCTTATCTACAATAACAGGCCTCCCTATTTTTTAGCTAGACACAAGTCTCCCCAGACAAGAGACACTCTTTATCTCTTGCAGCTAGAACTGGCAGTCAAGTTCTTGCCAAGGAGCTGAGAGTAAAAATGATTTGCACATCCTCTGGATTGTCCCCTTAAAGGAAAGGGCACATCCTCCTCTTCACCATTTCCTTTTTCATGCTGGTTCTCACATGGTGGTAAAATATCCTGGACCATGTAAATCAGAAGGAACTGGATTCCTGAGCCATATCTAAGTCCTAAGAGAGAATAAACTTCTAACTTGTTAAAGCCATTTGACTTGCATCTCGATTATAACAGATAAATTAATTCAGATGGTTACGGAGTTTAGCATTGCCTTGTAAGCATTTAGAGCCACTAAATGTAGTCTGATTTTTTAAAGATTGCTTTAGCAGAAAAACAGTAGACAGAGACAAAAAGTTTAAAGATTATTTCTACAAGTTGGATAAGTGATGATGCCTAGTCTAAGGCAGTGACTGATACGAGAATGCAGAGGAGGGGATAGAAGTGAGAGCTGTAAAATAAGGTAGAACTGAGAGGATTTTGTAACAGGTAAAAAAAAAATGATAGAGGTAAGGGAAAAATTTAAGACAATTCCAAGGTTTCTGGCTTAGGTGACTGAGTAGTACACAGTGATGCCTTTAATGCCTTTAATGAGTGCTAAGAGAGTTTTTCTTTGGGAAACCAACAGACTAATAAATTCAGTGTTAGCAAAGTATTTATTTCCTATCCCTGTGACTTTAGGCTTTGTCATTCCGGAAGTCTAGTTTCAAAGGGACGAATACTTCCACTAGGAGACACAACAAATGATTCCACTAACCTGAAGTTGAGACTCCAACTTTACTCTGAAGTTCCGAATCAAGAGGCAATGAAGATGGTTACTGTATTCACTGGGGATGACTGATCCTAACTTTCAAGGGGAATGTGGGTTACTACTGCACAATACAGGAGAAGTGGAGTATGCCCAAAATGTAAGAGATCCTCTGTGACATCACTTAGCATTTCCCATGTCCTGAGATTCAAGTCCATGGAAAATTGCAAGGGGTTTTGTAGAACTGCAAACAGCAGAGCTAATTCAGAAAGAACCACTAATAGCCCACACCTTCAAGAATGAAAGCCTGAGTCACCTCACCAAGCAAGGAACCAGGACCAGCTGAGATACTTACTTAGAGCAATGGGAATACGGAATGAGTGGTGGAAGAACATATATACCAGCTACAACCACATAACCACTGCAGAAATGTGGACTACAATAATTACAAGTATTTCTTCCTTAATTTGATATATATGTGTTTAAATATACATATGTGTGTGTGCGTGTATTAACCAGATATTTTTGGGTTCATTTGTTTTCTTCCTTGTTACCTAACATAGTATGTGTTAATCACAGTTCACTTTATATTTCAGTATTTAAGTTACAGAACATGAAAGAAGGAGTGTAATCAGGTAGGAAAAGAATGAACTAATATCATCTTAAAGACAAAAAAAAAAAAAAAAAAGACTTTATGTGCTCCTCTGGGGAAAGAGAATGTTTTTGATTGTTCAGGAATAATGTCTCAGGCTAGATGTGAAAATCTCCCAGTGACTCAACCTAATCAGAAACATATGGGAAAGGCAGTCAGGCATGGAGGCTCATGCCTGTAATACCAGCACTTCGGAAGGCAGAGGAGAGTGGTTCACCTGAGGTCAGGAGTTCGAGACCAGCCTGGTCCACATGATGAAACCCTGTCTCTACTAAAAATAGTAAACTCAGCTGGGCATGGTGGTGTGCACCTGTAATCCCAGCTACTTGGGAGGCAGAGGCAGGAGAATCGCTTGAACCCAAGAGGTGGAGGATGCAGTGAGTCAAGGTGGTACCCCTGCACTCCAGCCTGGGTGACAGAGTGAGGCTCTGTCTCAAAAAAAAAAAAAAAAAAAAAAAAAAAGAGAGAGAGAAAGGGAATTTTGGGAAATATAGTTCAGCCTAGCCAAGATGACCTTTTACAAACCCACTGCAAGGAACTTAAAAATACACAAACCCAGGAGGCCGAGGCAGGTGGATCACAAGGTCAAGAGATCGAGACCATCCTGGTCAACATGGTGAAACCCCGTCTCTACTAAAAATACAAAACATTAGCTGGGCATGGTGGTGCGTGCCTGTAATCCCAACTACTGAGGAGGCTGAGGCAGGAGAATTGCCTGAACCCAGGAGGCGGAGGTTGCGGTGAGCCGAGATCGCGCCATTGCACTCCAGCCTGGGTAACAAGAGTGAAACTCCGTCTCAAAAAAAAAAATACACAAACCCACAATAAACAGAGAGAAGGGGTAATAAGCAGATGAGAATCTGGTTTTTAAATTCTGAAAGACAAAGAAAAAATATGAGTGGTAACTTTCAGAGCAGGAAGAAGCTACAGTTTAGAGTACTGATGGCAGAAGGGGATAAAATCAAAAGGAGGCTGACTTACCCAGAGAACCTCAGAGTGTCAGGGTTCTCAGACACCAGGGTGCTAAGGAAGGAAAGGAGTAAAACTTGGGGCTAAAAATATGTAAATCTATATTCAGAAACATCAACGAGCCTTTCCTTAGGCTGAATGTCTCTTATTTCCTTGAGTCCCCTAGCAGTAGTGACAGTTCCTTACCCTATTCACATAAAGCAAAAACCTGACAGGTAACAAGCCCCTCTCATACACACAGAGCTCCCAATCAGTTTGTCAGTCAGTGTCTTCTATGCTTAAATATAAATGGACAGCCAAGGATTGCTAGATACTTGAGGAACATATCCAAAATGAAAGAAAACTAAAGATAAATAAATAGGATCTGAATTTGGAGAAAACAGACTGCAAAAAGCAGAAAAGGACTTTCAACACAAATTGTTATCCTCAGAGAGATTCTTAAAGAGACTGCACCTATAAATCAAGAACAATGTGCTATTTATAAAAAAGGTCAGCACCAAAAAAACACAGAAAAAGTGTTTTCCAATTCTCAAAATAAAAGATGCAATAAAAGTATTAGAAGTTAAAGTATCTCAGAAAGTACAACAAAATGTAAGATAAAAGACACAAAGATAATCAATCAAACATGTCCAAAATCCTACTAATGAAGAGTTCCAGAAACACAAAAAGAAAGAAAAAAAATTAATGAAGAAATAGCACAAAGAAGTATCCCAGAGTTGAGATTCCAATCTCCAGACAGAAAGGGCCCAGCACATTGAGTACTCAGGACAATTAATAGTAAAACCAAGCAAGCAACAAAAAACACTGAAATTTCAGAATACCAGAGACTTTTTTAAGTTTGGGGGAGAGGAGGTCACCAAAACAGGAAAAGAATCAGAACAGCACGACACCTACACAAGGTGATAGAACAAAATAGAACAATGATCCTAAAACCCTGGGGAATAATTATCTTCAACATCAAATTCTATATCCAAATTAGCAAGCAAGTGTGAGATTAGAATAAAGACATTTTCAGATAGAGGACGACTCAGAAAATTTACCTCCCACCCACCCTTCCTTAGCAAGTGACTTGAGCATGCTCTCCAGGAAATGGAGGTAC